TTAGAACTGAAGAAGCCTCTCGGATGAGAGGTGAAACGTCTTCAAGTAACTTAAAGAAGTCCAGACGCTTTTCTTTGCAAGCTCCTTTGACTATTGCGCTCTTTCTATGAAAATGTATGTGTGGGTGCATAGTGACTGAGGGGGGCTGTTGTGTAACAAAAGCAGTACTCCCCAAAAGTTGATTTTGTTCATCTGGACATAGCGTATTCAGTGGGAGAAACGTTTCATCGCTTATCCAAGTGACTTCTTCAGTCTCAACTGACTGCAGCTTTCCCCAGTCTTATAAACAGTACATTTGCATAATGTCTGAAACTAGCACCACTGAAGGAACAGTGGGCTGGGAGGTCAGTTCCTTGACCTCAGCAGTACTGGTAATATAAGGCATGTTATTTCTGACCTTTTAGTAGGCTACCCCATCTAAAAATTAAAATTAAAAAAGCTACATAAATAAATATATAGATTTTAGGTTACCTCAAAATACAATAGGAAGAAGATTTTTTTAAAAAACAGGATGAACTCAGTTTTGCTTTTTGTGTTGTTGTTTTTTTTTGTTTTTTGCAGTACGCTAGTACTAGTACGTCTTCTGTGGGAACCTACTGCACATATGGTTTCACCTTTAGTGTGGGTTGTTTACATTTGCGGTTGAAGCGCCACCTGGTGGTCAGCAGTGTGCACACCAGATAATTAACAGTGTTATTTCATGCTCATGTATGGTTGGTTACAAACCTGTGTGGTGCATATTTTCTAAGCATGTGCTGTATGCAGGCCTGTTGCCTATTATATTGGACTTTTGTGGATGCAATATTATCATTATTTATGTAGTGAGATAAAAAGTGAAACACAGAATAGATGCAGAGCTATATCAATGTGGCTACAAAGCTCTGCTGAGACCATTCAGATCTATCACTGCAGTTAAACACACAAATGTTGAAGCAGCAAGGTTTAAATACAGATCTGGAGCGCCCTCCAGAGGGCAAATCTTTGAATGTACCTTTACCAGTATATACAATAAGAAAAGTGACACTGTTTTTCCAGAAAAAGGGAAAAAATAAAAGTTATTTGTGAAATATTGAGTTCCAGCTTTGCGGGGGGAAAACAATGCGGGTGCTGTATATGATGGGGAATGTAAATACTCAAGGTTTATATTTACCTGAAAACTGACATAAATGTACAGCTCTTATTACTTATTTATCACAGTATCTCACACACAGTGAAGTAGCCCAACTATATTTTGCGCTATTACCTCATTTAAATTATAATAATGTGTATTTACCGCAATAACCAGTTAAATTATAGCAACGGTCCCTGCATCATTCTGGGAAATTACCAACAATCAAACAATCCCCTATGTGCAAGCACTTTGAGACAGTGGGAAGAAAAAACTTCCTTTTATCAGGAAAGAAATTCCAGGTTCATTGGTCATTGTTAGCCGTCTGCTGTGAACAGCTGGGGGCTGAGGGGAAAATGAAAAGAAGAAAGAGAAAAGAAAAAAGGAAAAAAGAGCATAAGGCGACAGGCGAGTATACAAACTTTAATGACATGCTGCAGTGATATATAAACACAGACAAAAGCAGCATGCAGAGAAGTGCTCAGCGCATCACATAAAGTCCTGCACGAGTTTGAACCTATATAACTAAGGGATGCTTCAGGGATGTTTCATTCTTAATTATAAGCTTTATGAAAAATGAACGTTTTAATCCTAATCTTAAATGTAGAGAGGGTGTCGGTCTCTCTTATCCAAACTGAGGGCTGGTTCCATAGAAGAAGGCCCTGAAGGCTGAAACCTCTGCCTCCATTCCCCGGTACTCTATTAGGCTATATTACTAGGTCTTTAAGATATGATGGGCCGGATTATACAAGAGGCAAAAAATGTGAAATTCAATTCTGGGTTTAACAGGGAGCCAATGAAGAGAAGCCAGTGTTGAAGAAATATGATCTCTCCTTCTTCCCCATGTTAGTACTTGTTATAGTATTTTTGACTAACAGGATGATTTCCAGGGAACTTTCAGAAAAAAACAGATACCAATGAATTACAATTGTCCAGCCTAGATGTAATGAATGAATGAACTAGGTTTTGGCATCACTGCAAGACAGGATGTTTCTAATTTTAGATATATTGCACAAAAATGAATATAGACGTAAAATATTAACACAAAGACTGTCAGTTAAAT